TCGGCAGGGCGACCCCAGCGGCGTGAGCTAGATGACCGGGGGCTTCTCCACTCGCTATGCTCGTTTCCATCTGCCACACGGACGTGGTAGGCTGGGCTGCCCCTTGCGTCCTCCTACGGGCTGGTCCTTCTTCCGCAGTACGCTGAGGGGTTGCTCGCCCTGGCTCGAGTTCCCTCGAGGCGCTGGGCGCGTGGTCTTATCAGGGCTGCGATGAGCTATCCCAACGCTGGGATGCCTACGATATATGGATGACACCACACTTCACAAACTAAACACGCATTGGTACGATTCTGCTAAGTCTCAATCCAAGTGACGGTGGATCTCGCTGCATGGGCGGGAGCCCAGTCCTGCTGGAAAATGAAGTTGGGATGATTCTGCTTCCAGGATAGCGAACTTTTTCAAAGATTTCTTTTTGGTGAAACTTTGCATCAATTTTCACACTTTTGTCTATGAAAATCAAGGGAGTCTTGTTTGATGCACTAATACCACCCCAAACCATTGAACTTTTGGGAAACAAACTTCTTGTGGCAATTTTCTCTTGGTGGTGTTCTTAAGAGCTATACCAAGAAGTTGGCGGTGATTCTGAGGGTTTTAGCCACTTCCGCAGTGAACACTTTTCCGTCACACCAAAGAACGTCTTCAGTGCGTCGCAGCTTGAAAAACTCCAGCAGTTTCTTGCATTTTTCTCTTCGACTTAGCTTTGCTTTTTCGATAAAAGCCCATTCAATAGGCGATAACTCTGGAGCTGAAGCTCATTTTCCACTATCATTTGAACCGATTTTCTGGAGATTCCGAGCTGTTTCGTCATTTTGTCCAAGCTCCGATCATCCTTACGGTCAAACCCCCTTTTGTATACTACCACGGATCCTTCTTGTATTAACAGTCCGCTTTCTTCTTCTTACCGGCTTGGATAGGACGTGTCCGTCCTCCCTCTATTGCTTCACAATCTTTTGAACTGTGCTCAAAGGAACCCTGAGCTTCGACGCAATTGCAGTGGTCTTCATCCCGCCGCTGGCTAGGCGTGCAATCTCCTCGCGACTTGTGCAGGCCTGCACCATGGTCTTGAGAACAATTTCCTCTTCACAGGCTGGTTATCGAAGATGTAAGGAAAGCAACTGATGCGTAAAAGCCGACTTTGATGTTCAAAGCAGGCACGTGATCGCGTCCAAATTCGCGTGCACGTAATTTTTTGCCCTTTCCTAGTGTAGACATGAGCCTACTCTCTTACCTCGACCCTCCGTGCCTTCAACTGGAACTGAAGCTGCTTAGTTGGATTATTCCACGCTCTCCCTCTTTCACATATACGGATCAAAATTGCTTAGACGAGAAGGCGCTTGCCAGAATTCTTGAAACATTGTGGTAAAATCCGGAGAGCAGTTACTTTCTCTATTTACAAATCTTCACCTTTTGCTCCAAACACTTTCGAGTCTAAGCTAATATGTCGGCGATTGACCAGTTCCGCAATGCCCATAGCTGTGATTGTTTTGCTAATAGATGCAACGCGATACTTGTTTTTTGGTGAAGCCTAGAATGGTATTCTACTTTTCCCCTACGACATCCTAATAAAACATGCTGAGAATATCTGTGGACTTACTTTACTTTCCAAACGCAGATCCGAATACCCATACGAGATCGACAGAATAGTCTGGCCACGACGGTGGACAGATATAGATAATGATGGTAATTCAGAAGACCTAATCTGCAAAAGATATAAAAGCGATAGCAACTTCATCAAAGAAATGGATTGAATGATTATGGAAGGTATTTAAAGACCAGCCTCATCCTCAACAGCCTTATCAAGTTCAGTAGTGTTGATGGGTGTCGATCCAGGCAGAACCATGCGCGGTATAACGCGCCCTGCCCAAGAGAATTCGTCTGAACGCCAGATTGCGAAGTATTTCGTCAGAAAACGGCTTCTTCCGCTGAAACCTTTAATCGTGGTGGAAAACGTGTGGATGAGGAAAGGAAATAGTAACCCTGATACTGCGGTAATGACGTGAGGTTTCATCTTGGTGCCTGCCATTTCCTCATCCATGGTAGTAAGATCACTGCCGGTCTGGATACGGTACCTGGCAAAATCACCGTCGTCATACCGTCGTGTGTTGAAAAGGCTATAGGGTTATGGGGCTCTACATGCCGTCCTTTGTCATTTCTCCGGGACCATTCACGACGACAAGTCAATGGCAATCGTGTCAGTACCATTCACTCTGGAATCGTGGGTCCGACATCACGTCAAGTCACGACGTGACTCAGTTTCGGCGAGATGACAAGAATAGCGGCACCTAGCGCCTTTCACCCCAGTTATAGAGCTTACCCACTTTACGCCATAACCCTTCTCCCATACGATAAGGGCTGTAGTTTGGTTTTTCGAACGGTAAACCTGATTTGTTTGACATTAATGTGAATTTTGTACCCATTCACGAAAAAACTGTTGCTTACTTGCATGGAAGTTGGATAGTATCCACGTCGTCCATATATAACGTCTTCGTGAAGTATCGCCTTGATTTCTCCCTCCTGCACGATGTAGTGACGTAGATATTTATTCGAACCACCGCGCCATACTGCCCTACAATTTCTCAAAAACTCTCTTGACACTTGAAGGGCTTGTTGTGTTGGGCTGTCGCATGCACAAAAAAATGCCTCAGTGGAAAAGAAAGGGATAATAGTGTATTCTTCATCGAAAAGAAACCGACAAGTACCTGGAGTACTCTTCCTAATCAGTAATAAAATATATTTGAAAAGCTGATTGGACGGTAATTCACTGGCTATCGTCCGCGGCCACCACCTAGTTTTCGCTGGATACGAGAAAAAGGTTACATTATGGCCAGATAGATTTTCTTTACATGGGCTCCTTTTACCTCCCTAGGATGAATTTTCCAGACTAGACCCTCTCCGAGCAAAGCAAGCTTCTCTAAGCACCCCCTCCTGAAGAGCCTTGGTGCTCAGTATGACTGCTGGAAATGAAACGAGGATAAGTAGAAAATGTTGATAAGACTGTCATTTCGGCGAGGCCCCTGTTTTTGCAGTTGATTTCAGAAATTAATAGCAAAAAAAAAAGATGCAAAATCATCATCGAGGGTGGATGATTGAATCTGTTCAGATGAGCTCTCTCGTTGCATCGCAACCCCCCTGGGACTCGCAATTGACAACCACAGGGTTTTATTGTCTTTATAGCGATTGATCAGAGAGTCTGGGCCGAGTGGGAAAAAAATTATCGCTATAGAGCTGTTACAGAACGCGTAGAACGGCATAAGGCGTCACTCGAAAGTGAGGCTCAAGACACACGTTGCAGCATGTGCACACGGTACACACCCTGCAGCATGTGTCTTGAGCCTTCTGCCTTTGCTTTGGCTTTCGCCTTTCACCGTGCATGGTGTCTTCAAAACCCCCTCAATTTCAGAGAAAATGAATTCGGCGAGAACTGTATGCGCATTGTTCAGCGCTGATGGATACGATTTTTGGTGTTCGAGCCGCTCGTGCTGCTTAACCCCTTGGTCTATTGACCTTAGCTCCACAGGTGTATGGGTATGTAAGGGAGAAACATTTGCTATTGAAAAGAGAACCGGTGAGCTGTATGTGACATTTCCAATGGAAGAGGAAGCCAATACGTGCGAAATCAGGTACCTATTCTAGGTTCATACCACCTTCAGTTAGAGTTAGCACCATGCCACCACTTTCGAAGGGATTATGTAAGGTGTGAAAGCCAACACTTCAGCTATTTTTTGTGTAGCCAATCTAGCATGCCATCGCTCACGGTAAAACACAATGGGGCGAAAGGACAACGACTATCTCCTATCTTGCGTACATTTTAGAAATCTGCAATAATGAGGGCTGCACCTGCCGACGATTTGAGGGGATTCCTAGACAATTTCATCACTGAAGGCCATCTATCGCTTTACTTTCATTTTCACCTACATCCATGTTCCTACTGAGCCAACGAGTCAGAGAATATACGCTCAGAGAGACAAAAAACTCGAGACTTGAAAAAAATTACTCAAGAGCATACTTTCCCAAACCGTTATTTCGCGTTATTTTCGTAAAGATTACAGAGTTTTTCACATTATCTGAAGCAGAAATAAGCCTTTTTGTAAATGATATTCCCGGTCCCCGGATATTCCATATTCCCGGCTAGGATCGAGGTAAGAAAGTTGCAGTGCTCGTTATGAGAGCCAGTTCAACAGGAAAAGAAACGACAAAGAAAAGACTCACTGATGTAGCCCATTACTGCCACGACAAATGTGCGACGGCTTCATCGAACGGATAATCATTTCTTCGGTCATGGCTTCCAACTCCGGTAGGGTCAAATTTAGCGAAACCTGCACTTCATCATCCGTTGACTTGGCAGTGTTAACCACATAAAATGTCGAACCCAAGTATTCATAAGAGCAGGTTGACATTATTTCGCTTTCGCTGAGCTCTGCAGCGAGCTTCTTCACATCTTCAGCGGTCATGTGAACCCGGCTGACACCAGTTTCTTGCGGTAAGCCAACGAAGGTGGGATATGTGAAAGAGGAATGTGTTGGAAACAGATGCACATCTTCCTGTGTTCGTCGCCGCCATAACTCTGACAGTTTGTATTCTACAAAAGCAGCAGAAGAGTAAAATGGTGCAGTTGAAAATACAGTAACGAGAAGATAGAATAGTTTGAACGGCATAGATGTGGCACTGCGCATCGATTATGGAATAGTAGATGTGATAGAAGCTAGCGTAATGATAATCGCATGAAAATCGAGCCGAGCGATTATCATTCCGCATCCAGTTTTATGTCATAAAACATGGTCGTCTTTGCGTCACGCTGATAAAGCATACACAAAGAGAATAATGCTAAGCGACTGGCGAACTGAAACAATATCAACATTGGTCTCTGGGCCTTCTAGGGTCTGAGTTATCTCATGAAAATGACCATTTGTAATGAGTACCCATTATTCGAACTCTCCAGCTGTACAGAAAAGGCTGGTAATTCAAATTTTGTAGGGCCTGTCATTGGTGACAGACAATTTGGAATAGATCACGATTGTAGCTGTTTTCTGCGTTCTGAAATATCGGGTAATCCTCAGTGGGATCGAAGTGTGTGGGAAGAATCCCGGTAGTTTCGTTAGATTTAATGCTACTATTCATTCCTTGTGACTTAAGGAAAAACACTATCTTAGTCATGGTTCCCAAATAAATTTTTTAGCCTTTCCCCACCTTATGGAATGGTGAACTATTTTCGACATTGAATCAGGCTACCTCGCTTATCTGTGTAAGAGAATTACAGCCTGACATTTTAAAAATGACCCGTAGTTCTTCTTTATTTCTCGCATTTCTAGGAAATGCGGCGGGTGTGGCTAGGGCGGACACGTCATTCCAGGAAAGAATCTCACATTGCATCTTCTAGGTCTGGGATGGTATCGTGAGGATAACACGATCAGCACAGGGGACGGTTTTGAGAAATACCAACTGCTCTGCAAGAGGTCGAACCACTGGAAAGATGTTCTTGCGAAATTCACTTGGCTCACCGTTCTTGATCTTAACATCAACCATTCACAGAAAATTTAATTCCTCTCTTTTATGGGTCTACCACCAAGTGCTTCATGTATAGACATCATTTGAGATGCTCAGAGTATTTATGGTCAGGTAAGTTTTGACGCAAATGATATTGAGATGAAGAGAGTACGATGTCTTTACTAAGTTGCAAAGGTGGAGGCATAGTCGTCGTAGCTTGATTGCAATGAGTGGCCCAAACTTGTTCTCCTCATATGGTATTGACTTCGACCGGTCCTTATCTTCTTGTCACCTTTTTGGCAGCTTACTCATTTACCTCGGCTGATCATATAGATCATATCAAATGTTAATATTACATACACAGTGTATTCAAAATATTTTAATACCAAGTTGAAGAGAGAGAGATGGAGAGAGAGAACACGGTCAGAACCGTTTCATTCACCGAAATATCGAGGCTTCAAAGTTGAAAGCCACAGTCAACACGGGAGGCTACCGGATTATGCCCTTCTTTCCTTCTAAAATTCCTTATCAGTTTCTTTCAGATATTATCAGTATTATCAGTTCTCATCAGCTATCAGTTTTCCCATCTTGCTCTCTCTATTGCTTTGAAATCTGAACACTCTAGGATCAAGGGGACAAGAATCATGAGTTTATGACCAAATACAAACCGGCACATACACAAAGATACACACCGACACAGACACACAGACATCCTCTGCGAATCATGTAAGGAAGAATGTCCCACCATTCAAGCGAACGGATTTGGAGCACTCTAACGTATTCAAAGTAAACCCGCTGTCCACTGGAGAGTTTGGGTGTTTTTGTCCTCCCCATGAGCGGTTAAATGGCACCTTGCGCCGTTCTTTGAAAACAGCGTACGGCCCTCTTTTGTCTTCTATGTATGGTGTTCCATGATTTGCGAAACTGGCTGTCCCCAGTGCATTGGCCTAATGCCCATTGGGGCACCTATCCCTTGAAACCGTGGAATTACGTTGACCGCATGCTGCAATCCGATACGTGGAAGATCGTTCAGGAAAGAACGAAAGTGAAGGTAAAAGCGTGTTTTTCTTCACCCCGTTGGAAAAACCTTACTGCTGCTAGTGCTGTCAGATTCAAAAAGAGCGTTCTCTTCTGATGATCGAAGTGTCACGCATTCACCTATTCATTTCCAGCAGTAGGTATCTCAATGGATACTTTCGGAATTTTTTTGGCTGTATGACCAATGAACCCAAACAGGATGACCTGGACCTTAAATTTTTCTCCTGCTTTATAAAAGTTGATTGGAGTAAGTACTCCTCGCTCAATGTTCTTCTCACTTACAGATATCTACGGTGTCACTGTGATGAAAGTTGCTGCTATGGAAAACTGGGGTAAGCTTCTTTGAATTGTTAAATACACGCACACATTGATGATATTTCCCGGCATAACAAAATAATAGAAGTGGTCGATGCCATCACATTGCCATAAAAAAACGAATTTTGCAAACACGAATTCTGTGATGTAATTGGTTCTCCTAGCTGTGCTCTATATAAGCTTATCCCACTGGCTACTCATTGATTTGACTGGATAAGGCAGCTATGGTGGGAAGTATGAAACTTTGGGCTCGTTTTCCCCTCCTCTCTGTTACTAAATTTGTAGCAAAGGGAAGGAGAAACGAGCCCAAAGTTTTTTATTTGAACCCTGAATGAACTTGATACGAACATTACTCACGACATTTGCCACGTGACGTGCAAAGGTAGAGACGTGTGGCGTTGTCGCCTCGATCGAGATGGATGGAGTACTCGAACAAGTTGAAGGCATATTCTACGATAAAAATGGTCTCTGAGGTTTCTGTCTAGGATGAACCTGTAGTTTCCAAAGATAACATCGGGAACACTTTCTGGTGGAAAAACAACTTACACAGGCCATAGTACGCTCTCCAAAAAGGGCTTGGCTGATGTATCAAAACTGATCGTTCTACGGCGACCTTGCTGAAGCTGCACAATGGAGCGCACATGTTGAAAATGCAAACAATTAATCGTGACCCATAGCATAGCAACGATGGGCGGCTGCATAGCTGAGTCGATTAGCTGTTGGGTGGGAAGATAAAGAAAGGGAACGAGTCTACTTGCATTCCTCTGTTCTTATTGTATTGGGTTGTAACATAAGTTCGTAGAGTTTTGCGTTAGAGTTATTTTACAACGAGTTATTTTGTTTTTTAGCAAGGTGTATACATTCATTTAAAAGAGCTCTTTCTCCTCTACAAAAACTTTTTATTCGTTTTTAGGATAATTAAATTGTTCGTATTTTTTCGGGCTCAGAAATGGAATATCCAGGAAGAAGAAATTAGCATTTTCGACATCTGCTTTTCTTTGCTTCTCGTCGAGGTCAAAAAAGCAGCCGAAACCGCTCGGGACATATGCAGTGTGTACGGGGAAGGTGTCTTAGGTGTGTCTACTGAAAGGTGTGGGTGGCCCCAGGGAAGGCGTCAAAGCCGAGAGTCAAGCAAGATCTTCACCCAAAAAATGGTCATGATCTGAGTTTGGTGGGACTGGGTAGGCATGGTGCACTGGGAAACTGCTCGNACCTTATAGAGGTGGTCAAGTCATCTTGCTCCACGACAACACCAGGCCTCATATTGCTCAAGTCGTCAAAACAGCACTCCAAGAGCTTGAATGGGAGGTTCTTCAGCATCCACCGCACTCTCCGGATCTTGCACGTGCCGACTATCACCTTTTCCGCTCTATGTTAAACCCAATGAGGGGTGTTACCTTCGATGGTGAAGGGGACCTTAAAAACTGGCTCATCAAATTCTTCGACACCACAACGGCCGATTTCCGGCGAATCGCCATCAACAGATTGGTCGAGAGATGGGAAGAGGTCGTGAGCAGTAACGGAGGATACATCATTGGTTAATTTATTATTATAATTATTGTTTTTTGGTTCAGATAAATCTTTGTGAAAAAACTCTACGAACTTATGTTACAACCCAATACATCCCAGAGCTGATTGCGAAACTCTTCTTACCTAGCTTTTCTCTATTTGTCAATTCTTTCTCACGCAAGGTTGCTTACCGCTCACGTTCTTTGAGAAAAAAAAAAGAAAATGGTAGCATTCTCACAGCTTTGAGACAGCCATCGCAACGTGCAATTTGTCGTACATCTTAATGACGAATTTCATATCAAACTTTGAGGCTAAACGCGTCCCATAATGAACTGACTTTAATGGAGTGGCATGGGCTGACAACATTATTCTTTGAAACTATTAGCTCTAGAATCTTTAACTAAGATTGTTTAAGGACTTATAACAGTTCGACAAAAACTACTGCTCAATAACAGCACCATCTCCACCTTGACTGAAACGCGGGTAACACAAATCGTACTTGCACACGAAATTGCTCATCAGGTAGGAATCGTTCGGCAGTGTTTCTGAACTTTAATAATATTGCGTCAGCGATGAAACGAGAGCACGAGATTAAGGTAGCCATTGAAATAAAATAGACAGGGGAAGCTTTTTCGAACTCATAAAGGACGAGATTTAAGCGCAAAGACGCATTTATAGGGTTATGAGGGAATTCAGAGATAGTATCCGCCGACTGCTACACCCATAGTGGACGAGTTCTGACGGGCTTGTGGGGGCTGCACCATCTAGGGACTCCCACGTTAGAAATTCAAAGAATTAGAAGTGACCCATAACAATAGTGAAAGGCAGTCATAGACATTTTTGGGTTAATGTAGTCAGTCCTTGAATCAATTGAATTGAGACAACTGACATGTCGTCCAAATACCCCCGATATGCCATTTCCGTAATGGTGATCTACGGCCTCTGTTTTCACTACTTTTGGAAAACAATATTTTTTGGTTTTTTTTTTGGTTTTCTCGCTTTCATCGCCATCTGTGCACAAATTTCCATCAACAACTCCGCTTTTCAATTTAGGGAATGTATCTCAAAATTATCCCTCGAATACATCGGTTCTATATTCACAAAGGTTGCCTATCAATTGTGTTTTTTGTACCAATTTTAGATAGATGATGACTCTCCTTGAGGGATGTTGTGCTTGTCTACATTCCATCTACTATGCTTTATAGTGGTTCGGCAACTTGGTGACGATGAAATGGTGGGACGATTTGTGGTTGAATGAAGGTTTTGCATCCATGATCGGACTCAAAGCCAATGACATCATCGACAAAACACCGCTAAGTGGAGTTAGTATAACCTGTCGAATCTTTATTCGAAATTTCGTTAGGCACTGCAAAAGTGGCCTCAATCTTGCAAAAGCGGCTTTCCCTTTTCACTCTTATGAGACCTTTCATACAAATAATACGACGTATCTGGCATAGAAATCTTAGGAATAAAATAACCCTCGCAGCGAAACCACAAATGATTCTGCTAAAGGCGGCTTCCATGGAGCAGGCTCATCGCGTGTCTTCCGAGTCAATACGCCAAGGCATCATTTCAGCACCTCTGTCGGTGACTTCGTTTGATCTCCGCCCACTAGCTGCGCGCTTTTTTTTCCCGCTCCCTTGAACTATAAACAATAATGAGTTCCCTGCACTGCTGCTTCCATCAAACACTCTCTTTGAGGATGAATTGTCTGTCGATATTGCTCGAGCTATGCGTAACGATCAGATGCCAAACAGCATGCCCGTCTCCAGAAGAGATGAAGGGTTTGATCCAGAAACAGCTTTTTCTTCAAATACATACAAAAAGGTGGTACAAGCATTGTACTTCTTTTGCCATGAAAAGAACTACTTGTTTCCAGGCCACGTTTATAATCTTAATGGTTGAGCGCATCGTTGGTGAAGAAGTTTTCCGTGATGGTCTGCGTCTATTCCTTAACAAGTTCATGTACAAAAATGTCGATCACACGGACTTGCTGGCGGTGTTCGCGAGGTGAGGGCGATAGTCTCTATAAAGCAGGTGATTCTTCAGGAAAAACCCCTGTGCCTTACACAATATCAAGTTAAGAATTCGCCCAGGTCAACTAGACATACAACCTTGATTGAAAGAAAAAAGTTTCGAAGAAGTGGATTACGTACAACAGAAATGCAAGAAAAGAGAGTAGGTAAAGTCAGCAAGGCATCTCACATGTATGGAGTGGCCTATTACACCTTCAATTGGTTGCGTTAGTCAGCAAAGGTCATTGAGGACTGCCTATTGCCTCTCACGCACACTTGTAGCTGCTACCTCGCCCACACTTCTCATCTGCCTATTGATGAGCCGATTTTATTTCCACAGTCGTTTACAACGTGTGACTACCTCAGCTTTCATTCCGATTCATTTGCAACTTTCCCACTTATTCCAATATGACATTGTTATCCACACTCAGAAGATCTAACATCTAACGTTCTCATCATGCCGCCTATACCGCTACATGATTTGAACGAGCTAAATCCAAACTAACAATTTTATCGCACGTTCAGTCTGTTGTGGGCGAAGTCTAGCCTGCCACCTACAATGAGTGTTCACATCGTGCCATCTGAACTGATTTCAAATTTGAATGCTTTAGGTTCACGCCAACAGAAGTTATGTTTCCGGTCGAACACACACCGACAAACCAACAAACACATTTAGGTGTTATGTATAGTAGAATAAACGGTATCAGTGCTCAATGTGAAAATTTTTGCTTGCACCACTGATCGCACCACCGCCGCAAGTATTTGGCATGCAATTTTAAGTGAAACAAAAATAAGGTCAACAGTGAAGAGCATATTTTCCCGGTGGTAGACATAATAGGGGGACATCAGCTAAACGCTGCATTAATATTCCATTATTGTAAGACTTTATCTAACCCCTAGACTCGCTGTCGTCTTCCCAACCCGGGATCGATGTTGCACATTGATTTCATATGTTTCATCCACGCTTAATTTTACGATACGACCATTAAGAGAATTAATGACGCCTTATCATTTTTTTGGGTCTTTTGTTGTGCATTCTTGATGTCACTGCTTACCTGTATTGCTTCAGGGTTCACGGCGCTTCGAGTAGTAACGAGTATTTGACCGGGCAGAACTTCACATTGACAGAGGTGATCGAGACGTGGATATACCAACAAGGATTTCCTGTTTTGCATGTGAAGAAACGAAGTGATGGCAGAGTTGAAGTCACGCAGGAGATTTACAGGGTCAGGATTTGCTAGTTTCTAGACCGTTTCAGAATCGCGTTATATGAATAAACTAGCTGATGGATCCTTTCCTATGCTTTTGATTCCATTGCAGACCTTTCTAACATGAAGTCGAACTTCTTCTGTACGATCGAGACGAGCTCCTGTAACCTTGAATTTCATGATGGCACGTGTCATTTTATCTTGTAAGCAGTTGACCTGATTCTTCGGTAGTTGAGGCACTCCACCGAGTTTCCCTCCCACTGGGGGATAAGCTCGATAGTACTCTTTCTCCAGGCTTTCTTTGTTCAATGAACTCAGTGTTGAAGAATTGAGCGTTCCAATCCCATGCGCTGAGAGCGTCGTCGTGAGCTATAGATAATGAGAAGGTACGTAACGTATTCCCCCATCGCTCGACGGACCTCATCACTTGTCAGGGTGCTTAGCGAAACAATCCCAATTCTCAAGCCAGTCAAGGTACTCTTGCCGCCTCCGTCGACTCCACCAGATTTTTTCGGGATCGCACCATTTCTGCGCTTCTCAGTCTTTACTACTACTTTGGCCAGCCTTGGCAAGGGCTACTCTCCTTCCCAACCTTCCAGATTCCCGTACAAAGAGTTAATTTTTTTCGCAACTTTGGCCTTGGCGGGCCTCTTGCAACCTCTGAAGACGGCTAGGTCTTGGCGTCTTCACAATGCTTGAAGACGGTTTTTTTTTCTGCCCCACAACTCGCTTCATTATTCGAGATTCGGGCTTGGTTGTCCTCTCGAAATCCACTTCGAATCTCGCACATCGTAGGATGACTATGCGGTATCGCTCATGATGTGCGGATCGATTGGTCTCTGGTGATCCGGGATCTTCGATACAAAATTTCTTTTTCGGCTCAGATCAGCTTCCGCTCAAATTCTTCAGTTGTACTTGATTCCTCATAGAATGATGGCCATGACTCCCAAGAGAGACCTGTGATGCATAGCAGGGCTCGATCGATTCTTTGTGCCTCATTGCTTCAGCGAAGAACGCGCTGGAGACTGTGAGGTCATTAGATGTGACCAGGTCTAGTGGTGGTTGCCTACGTTTCCTACACTATTCCTCCATCTCCTTAGACCGTCTCTGAATCCCTTCTTTCACTGCTACAGTGAGTTTCCGCAACGGCTAGCTAATCCCCTTGAGCGGCTGACCTGACGGCATCGTTGAGGCTTAGGTAGATGAAATTTTTATCGCAAGCCGACCAGCGATGCAAACACGGCTATTATTCTCCAGTGCTCCTCTTTCTTGCCTATACTCACGGGAATGATTCGATCTCTAACGGCGGAGACAGAACCTTGAAGGGATCTTATGATCACCCCTCCTGTTCGGTGTCATCTTCTCCGTTGAGCTCGACACCTTTTTTTCTGACATCTTCTCCTTTTCACGTGCCTTTGGAGACACAAGGCACGAATTTTCCTGCACAACATAAGGTCATGGATCCAGATGACAACAACTACTTGATACGATTGAGGGAATGATTGTTATACTATGAAAAACTGTAGAAGAAAGTGTCATGTCAAAACTAGGACCCTTCTGGGCTTCCACACGCTATGAGCGAAAAGTGTTGTTTATTTACAATTTAGCGACTTAATTATCACACCAAAATTCGACTCGAAACAAAATGTGATAATTACATGGCGAGATGTCTGCCAAGACTGGTAGACTAAGACGGAAACTTAAAACTATGTTTCGAATAGCCGGAGATGGCGCATTTTCCTTAGCCCATGGCACTAATACCTTTTACAGCATACTCCTGGTCATAAACGAAGTGGTGCACAGTGGAAAGTTCCGCTTTTCCTGCGAGATCCACGCACTCTGAAGCCGACGGTACAGTGGTTGGTGGAGAACGACAAGGGTTAGCTATACTTTTAAATGGTTCACTTCCAGGTGTTCTTTTCGAGTTGCACTTTATGTTCCCTCTAAGAGCAATGGGTAAAGGGATAGAAACTCATTACTATTGTTCACTCAATTGATCCTCCTTATCGCATTCTTCAATACTATCACGTTATTCCCCACCTTTCTTACAATTAGCCAATCCTTGGAAGCTTACTTTCTATTGTGATGCCGCCAATGTTGATAATGCTTTTCTAGTTTACAAAACAATACGCCGTTTTGAAGGAGATTATGAGATGGGCATCGCCCAAACGGAACACAATTCGAGAAATGAGTGTCATGCCAGCATTAGCAGCCGTGTTATTTGATTGAATTGGCGAATTTTTACTGTTTCTAGTAACTTTGCAGGGTACCTAATATAGGCAGAAATGCACTTATTATTCAATATTGGCTCTTAACTCACTTCTACGGGGAAATACCGAAGTAGACTCATCGTGATACTGGCAACTTACTCCTGTGTGATTTCTGCTAATTTCTGTTGGATAAATGTTGCAAAATAACATTCGGTTTGTATGTATAGATGAAATAGAGCCGAGAGGCCATTAAATTTGCGCGACATTCAGCAATTATTGACCTCGGCACGGACGTCGTTTTGGATCGAGATGGGCGCAGCTTTATCCGAGTTAGGTACGATACTGGCTTATACCTCGAAATCACGGCACGGCTTCATGCAGACGCCAACTGTATTCCAGTTTCAGTGAGGTATTATAACTCGCTTCACTTAGACGCTTCCCTTATACTTCTCAGTGAACTTTGCAGGACTCGCCTAATGGACGATTCATTCACGTTGGCCGAAGTCGGGAATCTTTCGTACCTGCATGCACTGAACATTTCGGTTTATCTCAGGAAAGAGGTCAGTAATTCATCACTTTCCAAACATCGCTTTTATCGCGTGCGCTCACAAAAATGGCTTATTGGTTGTCTGTCACGTCCGAGTGAAGCAGGGCATTAGCATTCTGGAAGGCACATGCATGCTAAATCTATTGTAGCACACACGAGCCGGTTTCAGTTTACGGTAAGTGAAGGTTGCGTGACATGGGCGTTATCCAAGTAAGAAAACAGCGCCAGGCTTTTTAACAGCTGAATGTGCATAAATTTGAAGCATTGTAATCATGATGTTACTTCAGAAAAATTACTTCAGAAGAGTTTCAGAAACATCCTAGAGTTTAGGAAGTAGAGGCTTCTTAATGAGTAGGAAGGACAGGTGAGTTTAAAGTAAAGGAGCCGAAGCCTATCCTCGACGGATTCATCCAGATTCAACATTGATAGTCACATTGCAAAGTATTCTAAGAATGTAAATTGCATTCAAAGAAAATTACGTTGTAGAGTCTAGTCCTGCCACCCACTATAAACATTCCAAGCCTGCGTACTTCTGAAAGTTTGAAACCTCTAGGTTCACGGAACAGAAGGTATGAGTTTCTGGTCAAACACCCATCCACCCACCCACACACGCACACACGCACATACATATACACACATACACACAAACCAATAAACACACTTAGCGCTTAGTATATAGTAGGATGCTGAATAGCAAAGGACATAAAGCTCCACTTTGTGGCACTCTATTTGTGACCTCCCTTAACACGGAAAAGGTTTTTCCTATGTGGATGTGGAAAGTTCTATTCGTGTTGATCTCATAATCACTCAAAACGAGTACCTTGTACACCTATGCTTTCTGGTTTGAGAAGCGATTACTGGTGCGGCATTTTGTCAAACTCTTCCATAAAATCAAAGTGAATGATATGAACCTTTTACTAGCATCCATACCAATATCCAATTATTGAGCGCCTCAAATAGTCGGATAACCGTAGACTTCGTAGTAGACAAAACCATGCTGATTAGGACCAGCTATGCGATGCTTATAAAGGTGATCCGAATATTTTTATTATTCTCTCGAAAACTCTAGCTGTAATCGATGTAATACTCATTAGCCTACAATTAATCATACAATCAAACAAAGGCTTCGCACAGACGTAACATTAAGATTCTTCGAATATTAGCCTACAATTAATGGGGTTCTACGCCCCTGATAAGAGAAAGGTTCATTATCTGAGGGGCTCGACATCGAAGCAGATACTCGTTTCAAAAAGCAGAGAGGTACACTATCAGGAGTAAGAGAAGAAGATTTTGGTCACGGATTATCACAATCATACACCTCATTTTTGAACCACAAGCATTATTCCATGGCAGGAAAGAGGATGTTGAGAAGTTGCGAGATTCTGTTCAATGTTAGGTTGTGTGAATACCAATAAAAATTTGTTGAGCCAACATATCAGCCTTAGCTTTCTTCGCAGAAGGCAAAATAACTCTCTTGGTCTTGAGTGCGCCAATGCCTTGACAATTGCTGATTTTCATTGGAATCATTTTGTAGGTTGCTGATTCTCTTACAACAGTTTATCACCTTCCCCTCTTTCTTGTACATCTCAAGCTTCTAGATGAAACGTCTTCTGAAATGTAAATACGCTACCAGGTCAAAGTGACTTTTGGACTCCATCACGAGATCCCAAGCACGAGAACGAATTTTTGAGTATTGCATAAGATAATTGGGAGAAGGTGGCCTATTTTGAGGGTCTTAAACAAAGAGACGAAAATTTCTATGACATGTTTAATAACGAACACAAAAAGATCATCCATCTCATCGACATCAGCACATCCCAGGAATGACCCGTACCACTCCACATCGGCAAGGTGTTTACAGATTTTATCAGCGTTTTAAAACCTCATGCGCAATAGAAGGGTTTGATTACGTTTTGGAAACGTGAAGTGAAACTGGCAGCAGAATGGTCACTAGATCGGTTACGAGGATCTGTTGACCCTTTTCCGACTAGGTCTACCTTATTACAAAACAATAGATCCGGAACATGATTTCCTCCAGTTGGTCGGCGGTCGCTTAAAATGGTAAGTTCTACAAAACTGAAATGGTGCCACTAAGATTACCAATACCATAATTTGTTTTGCTGAACAAGTCAGTTTCTGACAATCGAAGTCACCTAATGTTAAGGAAAGATGGAGGCGGATTGGCGTGGAATCATTTGAGCAACTAGGCACTATGTAAACTACAACTCTTCGACATAAATCTGGTATGGGAGAAAGGTCACAACATAAAAGCTCATAAGATTCAGTAATAGCTTTTTTGAAAATCAAGTGGTACGAAAATTTGAAAGGGAAAACAATACATCAGGCTCCACCAGCTTTCGAGACCGATCACACCATATAGATTGTACTCGTGTTTCAAAGTGCCAAGAAATGTGGGATTTCCCAACCTTGACTTCAGTCAAGTTTCAATGATAGCAACAAAATCACAATAAAAACAACTTTAAGATGAAAGAAATACTTCCGAATCAATGCCTGGATGGTGAATTCAGAGTGCTCAGCAGACATTCAAACTCACAGCAGCAGCACTGAGGAGACGTCAAGCATTTACCCATTGACGACGGCCCGCCGGCGGGCCACACCATATCGTGCTCTCGTAGTATTTATATTATTTTTTCTGCTCTGTGCTCTTATTTTTTTCATGTTTTCAAGTATCAGCTGAGCTCACAACCTTCTAGAGAATCTTGAGGCATTGTGATCCAGGAATCATTCATTTCCAACTGCAGTTATGAGAAATTAAAATCTAATGTAAGGACAGTATAAAAGTAGCGGTTGCCAATGGGTTAAAGGACTGGTTTGGGAGATACTAACATCCTCGAGCCCACTATGATGTCCAGAATAGCAACGAATTGTCCCGAAGCAACAGCTCTAAACTGAAGAAGATTTATTAGGCTTCTCGCGAGCGGCTAGTCTCAAAACAGAAAGCTTATCTCCTCCTGCCTTACGGGGCGAAATACGAATGTAAGTGCTCTAAATGGGACAGTCCGGAAGCAGGTGCTCGCTCGATAGCTTGCACTTTGAACATAGTGGTAGGGACTATCACCCACCTTCCGTAACCAAGAACGAGACTTAGAACGTTCGCCTATGCGACAAACAGACGATAGAGCACATTCAATATGAGGAAAGTTCAAGAGTTGCCTAACACCATTAAAGCCATAAACAATATGATTTGAAAGAAGCAGCGTCACCGGACTCGGATACACCTATAATCATTGAGGAACAGGAATTTTTTCAACTTCAGAACATTCAGCGTTGATTTAATTTCCATTTTTAATAGAGGAGTGTGCTTGGGTTGATGAAGTATTTGTCTCATCTATCGGTTAGGACTGCAATCCTCGAGAGAGAACAACGTAAACGAGAATTCTTGCACTCAAGCTCCTGAACTTCTTCAGTTCAATCTTTATTTTCACAAGTTAGAATTTCAACCCTCTCCTTCACGTCCAGAGTTGATCGACCATTGTATCATATAGGAAGGCTTTGAGTCTTAGCCATTAATCAATCAGCAGCAGTCACCAGGAGCTTTTCTCGCTCAGAGGCGTAAAGAGAGTCCAAATCGGGGCTACTTTTTCCGTCCCTTGAACATGGAAACATCATTATAATCATAGAAAACGAACACCTAGTAGTGAGGCAGGATGCACGAGTCGGCACTTTTGGCAACAAAAAAGCTATCTTGTTGAGTATCAGTCGAGAGAGATCAAGCATTAACCGATCGATGACGAAGATCAAGAATGGACCGATCAATGACGAACAAACTCTCAAAGCAAAAAAATCACCTCTCGGGTGTTCTCCGTCATTTGTTTAGTTTATATATACATACGTATAAATTGCTGTTTTTGCCTCTGACCATATTTACTATTTATGTAGTTATATTGTTAGTTGTTCTAGAGTGGAATTGACTTTTACTCACTGATGAGCCACGACAGTCCACTCCACTTGGTGATTCGTCTGAGTGAACGTCGCGAAACGAATCATCTTTTTGCTACCTCTTGTATCTCGTATGCACGATCTTCAAGCAACTAGTAACATTATTCTTCTTTTCTCCAACATGTGATCGAAAACATGTCCATCTTAAAGATCTAGGGAAAGTAACGATCCGTTGATCCCTTTTGCTTTCAATCGCAATCACAAACGTTGCCAATCTCCTCAAGCTTTTATTTTATTCAACCGATAAACGAAAAATTTTAGTGGGCACAGGGAGTGGGCTCTAACATTGTTGCTTTCCGGGTGGAGAATTTCCAAGGCTTCGGCAGGCACTCAGCAAAGTTTACGCAGCAGCTATCGTAAGTACCTACTGCCATTATTCTAATCTTACCCTTACACTGGCAATACCACGCAAAACTAGTGCGGGGAACACGGGTAGCGATACTTCCCCTCGAACTCGCGCGTGATGCTGGGGTATGGGTGCACTCGCGCACTTCAAGGTGCGCGCGGTAAACCGTGCAGCTAAATTCGTGTTGATTTGATCGACTCTGGCTCATTTCTAGGGATACAGTTTTAAAGTAGAAAAGTTTAGTAGCGTCAGGTGATTCTACTGATCTCCTCTACTTTCAAACTGTGCCCTTGTGATAGACGGGCGGAGTCGTACAAGTCACCACGCAGATTGTCGCGCGCACCGCCGATTGGGCAAATGTTTCGTTAAAGGCGCAGTTCTCGATGATTTTGGGTAATCCAGACGAAAATGGAAGATAAGATAGAAAATAGTGCGATGAAGGCGAAGAAACTGCGTGAATCGGTGTTTCCAATGAGAAAAAGGTCTTCGAAATATCGTTAAAAAGGGGCTGGACGAGAACAAAACCAGAAAAATGGAGAGGAATGAGGCGATTGGGCAGGCTATGCAATGTGTGTCGTGGCGTACGTGTGTGTCCTGGTGCGAATACCTGACTACCTTAAGCAAAAATTCGTTCACTCATTAGCATAAGTTAGCAAAAAACTCTGTTATCAGCAAAAGTAACCCACCTTTTCAGCCACTTGAGGTAGAAAATTAAATATGGGATCGCAGCAGCAGCAAGAATTACAAGCAAAAAAAGAATGGGAGATAAACATCGCCCCATCACTGGGCGATCAGCTGTTTGTGTGTGGGTGTAGAACGAATTTCGCAATTGTATCGCCTCGACACTCGCCTGACGCGAAATCGATCAAGGGGCGGGAAGTTCAGGCGATCCGGTAACGGGGCTCCCACTATGCCCTAGCTGGTGAACTTTGGGATTCAGCAGCGTCCTTCCGGTTACCCTCAGATGCTACTGGGTGTTCCTCTTGGAAGAACTCAAAGACCATTTCTATCGTGGACTGTGCTTTTAAGCGACAGTGGTTCCGGGACAACTACCCTTATCCTTCCACTAGGAACTAGAGCCCTTCCCCTTCTAGCGCGCGATCGGGTGCGGCGAGACGCGGTTATCGGCAAAATCGTCAGGCACAGGATTCCTCACCCTATTTTTTATTATAGTATCACCTGATTTCGCGCTGAGTCTGCCCAGTGCCATCCTCCTTACAATCATGGGTATTTGCTGTGTTTCAGCAATCGAAATTCCTTTGTAACATCTTTTGTCCCGTGGCAGTTTTAGGTTCGCAAAAGCCTCAACTGACTAGTTTTGTTCCTAACTCAAACAATACGACTCCTTCCTACTTCAAAATCAATTGATTCTTTATGATTCGTTAACACTGTTATAACAGAGAATTAACGTTCCGTGCTATGACAGTCCTGGTTGTTAAAAACCGGAGGTTTTAGTACTTATCACAAGCAGATTGTGAAAAGCAGAAAAAGCATAAAGTACAGGTGGTTGCTGCATAAGAAACCACTGAAGTAAAAATAAAGGCAAGGATAGAGGCACTGCAAACCTTGCATCTCATACCATATATCAACTTCACAAAGTTTTCCAGATTTGGCATTTATTTTAGCGAGCATACCCGCCTATCAAGATGTTGCACGCTCATCTGGACTTCCTAGTGTCGCGTCTTACAGGTCACCCACAGTTCCGTATATTTCAGGTACTTTGCTTTCTTTGATACTCTCACGTCTTGATAAATGGGCGCACATAGACTGGTATTTATGTTAAATCTACTGGGACGAAAAATATATAGAATACTGTTTTCTTCGGAAGCTTTGTGTTTTCCACTTTCTCCACTGTTGCGCTCAGAGAAGAACTACTACACAATAAGAAAAGCAGGAGGATTACTGAGTACTGAATTTTACAACTCAATTACTTTGTAGGACTTCATCGTAACTATCCTGGAGCCCTTATTTGAATATTTCCGTCAAAATCCTGTTCCGGACGAAGAGCTAAAGCTGCATGAAGAGTAAGCTACTACTTATTCTCAGTTGTGATTGTAATTGTGTAATCTCAATTAAATGAAGGCTACTCAGTGACCTACGAGCCACAGTATTCTCTCGGGTCTGTTTGAATGGTTATTCCATCTGTGCCTCATATGCGCGAGCTCTTGTGATGAAGTTAATGGTGTCATGTACCAACACAATACTGAGCAATCGAACATGCAATGTGTAAGTATCCCCTACAGTTTCTGAAAGTGTCGTTGGGGACACATTCTATATCAGTGAGCATGCGAGCACTAGAACGGTTGCAGTTTTACATTTTCTACAGGGCTACAACGTTTTCTAGGATTCCGCCGTACCTCCGTCAACCAGTCTACGCAACAGCTGTGATGTACGGAGACGAAGATATTTTCGAATTTCTGCATTCGAAATGGAACATGGAGGTCTATCAAACAGAGCGGGAGCGAATATGGATAGCTCTAGGTGCCAGCAAGAAGAAGGAGCATATTCATAGGTTCGAAAAGTTCGAGTGCTAATCAGGAATTGATTCAAAGATCATTCCTGTAGTTTCTCAGAGGTGACAGAGGCCCTTTTCTTTCTGACACGCAGCTTCTGTCCAGAAAAAGTTTTCGTATTCGGCAGGAAGCTTATCATAAAGAAACATAAGGAACATAGCATGAAAGTCTCAGTCTGAAAGTAATGATATCCGTGAAAACTTCAGAAGCAAGTAATGAAAATTGGGCTTGGTTACTGTTCTCCTACAAGCTGAGCTGGCCTACAGCTTCTGTATTTGGCCCTATCGAGTGTGAGATAGATGAAATGAAAGTACTCTACATTTAATATTATTATTATTATTATTATTACTATTATTATTATTATTATATTTATTATTATTATTGTTATTTTTATTAAGCGTTTGCAAAGAATTTCACATGAGTCTAGGTTTTTCCTTCGCTTTTCTGGAAAATTCCGTGGAGTTGCTTCAAAAGGGCACTATCCATGCGTAGATGCATAACGTAACCAAGTACCTCTCCCTCGCTTATGAACAAACGTGTGTCAGGTAGTAGACCTTGAGGCTTTTGAGTGTCCATGTTCAACGTTCCAAGCCGTGACAAGAAACTCGATCTTGACCTACCGACATATACTGATGAGGAAAACTGAATTGAAATAATGTGGTACAAGTTTTGAAAAAGTCTCAAGTCTTTTCGAGAGAAAGCACAACTGTTTTTGCCTACTACTTTCAGAATTTTCAACGACTTATTCTTTACCAGCATTCCTTCAGACCTTCGACCGATGTGTGCTGGTTATGTAAGGTATTTTTTTCCATTATATCTGAATGTTCTTGGTTGTGTGGTGGTGTATCTATATGTGCTGTAACATACACATTGCGTTCCATAAGTATAAGGTCATCCTTAAATTTGGCATTCACAACGTAAGCAGCCAAGCCAGGAGAAAATGTGCAGGAGGATGATTTAAAGCTTTACCAACCATGCCTCGCGAACGTCATCTTCTTACACAAGACCAAGCATAAGTTTGAGTTCTACGCGATGCAGTACTCACTGTGAGGTCATTGGGAAACAAGTCTAGAGACCGCTTAGATTAGTTCTATGGTATTTGAAGTGTTTCGGTATATCTAGAGCTTCCACAAGACCAGAACCCCGCGCAAGGTACCTGCTAATGAGAATTGTGAAAGCCATTTCGAACAGTACATTGCCTTTGAACCAAGTTTGATCGAAATTGGACTTCACGGTGTCAAAAAAGCCTCATATGGAGGATTGTGAAAGAAGCAGCAACTTTGTCAGAGCAGCATTTAGAAGAGCGCCGGGTGAAAATGTAGTTGGGGGGCCACCCTCCGCGTCTTCAAATGCTGACGTGATAGTTCAGGTCAAAAAAGCCGTGCACCAAGCACACGTTCTATGGCCTGTAACAGCACATCATTTTGATACACTAACTCTATTGATAATAGGATTACTTCTCATTTCAATGCAACCCGCGGTTATGGTTGATCGACTACTGTCGCTTCGAGGCTTTACTTTGATAGCCACGTGGCTGGCGCTTGCGTCCAAGCCGAAGGAGGAGTTCGACGATTGGCTGGCGGATTGCGGATTGCTGTGGAAGACCCGATCGTGCCCGAACTGTGGGAATCCTTGTAAGCTGAAGAAGCAAGGGAAGGAGGAGGAATGCATCCGTTGGAAGTTCGAATGTTGCAGACGGACATGCCGTCAACCAGGGATTCCTCGCACGGGTACTTGAAGGATACCTTCTTCGAAACACTGCGTGGCGACCGCAAGAAGATGTTCCTGACGAGCTACCTCTTCGCCTAGAACTTGGACTTGTGAAAGAGATGGCGCGAACGTTGGAGGTAAATGAGAGTACCATCATTCAGTGGACGCAGTGATTCGTGACGTGCTGATTGATTATTACACCAACAACGTGAAAAAAATAGGAGGACCCAATACAGTGGTGCAGGTGGACGAGACGTGTATTGTTCGACGGAAGTATAATGTGGGTCGCATCGTCCGCAAAGAGTGGCTCGTCGGAGGTGTCCAGGATGGGACGAAACTAGTGTTTGTAGAGATCACGGACGATCGCAGCTCTACATCACTGGATGCTATCATCCAAAGTACGTCCTACCGGGAGGGGTCATCCGCACAGACAAGTGGGAAGGTTATAACAACCTAACCAACTTGGGTTACCAGCACGAAACGGTCAACCACTGCGAAAACTTTGTGGACCCCACGACAGGAGCGCATACACAGCGCATAGAAAACTTCTGGGGTCATTTGAAAGCGAAGATCCGTTCGCGCCATGGGCTGAAAGGGGATTTATGGGACGACCACTTCTTTGAAGTCCTATCGAAGTGGCAGTGTAATAGCGAAGATCTTCTGTACGAACTGTGGAAGAAAATCGCCGCCAAGTATCCTGTTTCTTGAAAATACTCATGTGAGTTGAATGGCATTAAGGTCTATTATTTTTCAAATTATTTATAGCTGGAAAAATGTAAACTGCCCCTTCCTATGCTTTAGGAGTAGAGGAGTACCGGCGTGGACGAGATTCCAACGTTATTGAAAGGAATAAAAAAAATTAACAAAGGAATACAATAAAGTAAAGCTGGTTTGAGTTGTTAGTGTTGATATAGTGCAGCGTAACACTTTCAAGAATGGCCGTCGACTAACTGGTCAGAACCTGTGGACTTACCTGAGGTAACACGTCAACATCAAGACGCGAAGGGTGCCTCCCCCCCCGCCCAACTACATTTTCACCGTGCGCCGAGGCTTATGATCATCACAGATGAGCACGACTCCAATATGCAAAGTAGAATAAGGGAAGAGTGTGGACGAAGGTAAGTCTGTATAACAGATCAGTCATACAGTCGAATATTCCCGTTCAGGTCGTATTCTTCGTTGATCACGGACGGTCACAATTATTGTGTTGGCGTGATTCGCAGAAACAGTCGAACAACTACAGCCGTCTTAATTTTGGGGAGTGCCATGGTGTGGGGTTCCTTCTGCTATAGTGGTGTGCTGCAGCTTGCTTTCTGACCTCTAAAATGGTTCTTCGAGACTATCAGAAGGTCTTACAAGAGCGCACCTTGCCATTCTTGATCGGCGTTGTCATAATTGTTTCCCTTCAGGACAATCTACGTTAGCCGTCCACGAAAGAGAGATTGCATTCCCAAGATATAGAAGTTTTAATTTAGCCAGCTTGCATTCTTGACCTCAACCCGATGGGGAATCTGTGGAGCATGATTGTAGGGAAGATTTATAAGAACAATCGTTAGTTCCAAACAACAGATTAGCTTAAGCAGGCAACAGTTTAAGCTTGGAATGAAATATCCACTGAATTACTTGAGAAGCTCATACAAGTATGCTCTGGCCTCCGTTATTCGATGTTTTGCCAGAACAACGAGGGCTCGTTAAACATCAATGTTTCTCGTTTGTCATTCCCAAATTCTTAAGATGACCTTACACTTATGAAACGGTGTAAAATCCGAATGTCAGACTCTCACTATAGTCATAACCATGTTTCATCATACATACAATTTAGCTACAATCATCCCCTCAACCACTTCATTTCCTATGTGCTAGAAAATCTCGATCGGATCGCATCAGCGTAAGTATTCATTGAGATGTTATTTAATAATTTGTCCTGTACCTTGGAATTTTTCATCGCTAGAAGTGGCTTCAGTTCAGTAAAACCTCAGAAATAACACCCTTCGGAAAGGTTCTGAATAAACTAATCAGTAATGTCTCAAGTTTCCAATGCTGTGGAGATCTCTGTTTTTAACCATAGACAGAGACAATCAAGAGGCGCTTTCTGGAGGACCTGTATTCTGCTTTTATAACGTTATAGAACATCCTGCATATCCTTCAGAACTGGTTTCCATCCATCTGATTGAGGATGGTACTAAACGAATTGAATGATTCGATGACCCGCTCAGTAGTCAATGATAGTATTAGCATGCCCACGTAAACGACACTTGGGACCCCGCTCGACTGTGATCGATTTCTGAAGGTTATCAAAGGAGAAGCGACGTCTACCGAAGAAACTATTAGGTTGATGCATAATTATTGCGTATCTTTTTCAGCAAGTCTACTTAAAATGATAGAAATATCTAGCAAATACATGCTCAAATAATTGCTCCGAAACATATCCACCATCTACGTCAAGCACTGCTTCCCATTTGCTAGGCGTTCGGATTCCACAGGCGAAGAAGTTTCGATTCTTGGAGGCGATCACGCCTTGACGTTGGCCACCAAGCCATCCACCTCGTCGAAAGTTGTGTCCGCTTCCAATTTTTCAAAGGGCGATCAACGTGATAATTCATAAGAGTTTCTGTTGGTGAATAAGGCGACCGTAGAAAATTCCATTTTTTATTCGTCTTTGGCAGACTGTTCCATCGCCGAAAAGTTCGTTGTGATCACGTTATGAGTGTGCCGCTTTCCAACATTTCTCGAAGTAATAGAGCATAATGTGGCGAATATAAAGATGACTTTCTAGACATATTTCTGTTAAGGAAAGCGAGAAGACTATCTCTACAAAAATCCCGAATTCAAAAGTTTAATTTTATCGAGAGAAAAGAAGCCGCGAAAAAGTCTGCAATAATTATGCATCAACCCAACAGTTCGAATTGAGGCTCTAAAAGTGAGCTGGGGAATTTTGAGGGGATAGTAGTCCTGTGTCAGTAGTAAATGGAGTGAAAAGAAAGGAACGCTGTCAAGGTTCGAGAAAGTCTTTCCCAATGACGAAGCATAGGCATAGAATAGACTGGTGTAGGAAGAGCTATAATGGGCTTCTTCGACAGTACTATGAGAGTTCAAAAAAGCTGCTTAGAGAGACAGAAAGTGGAGCTTCAGGCGCGGGAGGGAGAGCCGTGGCGGCAAAAAGGCTTGCCACAGATAGTCTGCAATCTCCCCCTGTAGAAAGGAAGATTAAAAAAGTTGTATTGCGAAGGACACGGAAGTTGAACATGTATCCTTGCCAAGAGATCTCCCTTCAATACGGAAAGAGACATTGAGGTACTCTCAGATCTGCA